CATCCAAATTAGATACATCCAAACAGCTCATCAAACAATTGGCTTCCTACTCATCACCCATAAGCAGGAAATGAGCTGAACCATTGGGTGTTCCATCATACTTACTAGTCATATTTCTTATGTCATAGTAGCCACATCATGTTCTAAACTTTTACAACAAGATGGGATGCAGCAAGAAAAAGGCACTCAACATATCTCACTACATTTGCTTTTCCTTCTGCAGTTAGAGGATGTAGTGAGTTGAACATTATGGATAGTAATTACTATCAAGTGCATGAAAATCCACTACTTCAGAGACAGGCTAGTAAAATGCTTTCTATTGACTATACACCTCCCCCAACCCACCTGGTCTTTCCCTGATGTGCCAGTTTCCAAACCAAGCCTTCCTTGGTGTGTCTACTATTTTTGAAGGGTTGACAACTCCAGGCAATAGTGATTAATGACACTATTCCAGAATTCTCATCTGTTCTGCTTTCTCAACAGAACATTGTGGTGGGACAAGGGCTGAAAACAGCCAGTGTGGTATAATACTTAGAGCAGGGCTATTTTGGGGCAGGAACGCACAGGAATGGAGTTCCGGCTGGCTTCAGAGTTGGCCACGCCCACTACAGCCAAAACCCCTGCATGCCTGGCTATAGAGGGAAGGCCTGGAGAGTGACCCCCCCCCACAACTCTGAGGCAGGTGGTCGGGGGGGGCTGGAAGGATCAGGGAGGCATTTAAATGCCTCCCCGTGCCTTCCCCGGCCTGTCCAAGGGCCAACTTGCCCGGGCTCCCCGCAGCCACGGGACGCCCAGGCAAGCCAAGGGAAGACATGGGATGTGGCCTAATATGCTAATGAGCTGCACTGTCAGGGTGTGACCTATTATGCTAATGAGTTCCTGCTGGGCTTTTTCTACAAAAAAAAGCCCTGACTTAGAGTGTTGTTGGACTAAGATCTGGGAGACCCAGATTCAAATTCCCACTCTGCCATGAAAGCTCTCTGGGTGACCTTAGGCCAATCTCAGCCTCATCTACCTCCCAGGGTGGTTGTTGTAAGGATAAAATAGATAGGAGAGTGACATTGTAAGCCATTTTGAGTGTTCATCAGGGAGAAAAGTGGGGTATAAACGTTTGAATAAATAAATACAATTCCTAGTAACATTTACATGAACAAATGTTTTGAGAGTTTCTCTTTAAAGGAAAAGTGTATACTCCTGTTTTTGTATAATTTCTGATTAATATCTGATGAATGGAGCTTCAATTCTTGAAAGTTCGTACCCTGAAACACTTGCTGGTCTTTAAGGTTCTACTGGACCCGAACCTAACTTGTCTAATTTGGGCGTCTTTCTCATGGCCCATTTATATGGTGCAGCCACCACATAAACATCACTTCAAGTGGTACCACACAGGGCTTGTCACGTGGCAGATGCAGATACGCCAGCACCAATTCCTCTTTGGGATATGGGATCATCCTTCTCCCTTCCCCCTAACATGGAGTAATTTCAAGCATCCTCCAGAAAATGCAGACCAGTTTGTAGTTACAGGAAAATGCATGATTTAAATAGTAGTTGAGGTTTTTTAAAAGCAAGGCAACTCTGGAAACACTACTGTGTAAGTCAAGAGGATTCTATGATTTCACTGGGAGTCTAGTAAGACTTGACTTCTGACAGCTCTCTTAACAACTGTACTCCAGGAAGAAGGGGGGAAAGCCCTGTGACAAGCTTAAGTGTGTCCTTTTCGTAAATAGGGCTGAATGGATGGAATCTGATAATGAAGGGAAGGAAGATTATTGGGCTTCAGACACTCTTCAGTCATTATATCAAACACCAATTTGTGTAACAAGCCTCTTCAGGTAGCAAGCGAGAAGTACTTTGACTCCTAATTAAAGCAAGTCTCTACTTCAAGCATTTTCCTTTAACACATGCCCTTATTTATTTCATCCATCTCAATAAACCCAGGCTGAGGCCTCTTATGAATGTCAGTGTGGGTTATTATTTAAAGGGTACATCACATGGATATTTCATCTGGCTTAATCTGATTTAATCTCACTAGATTTATCTTTGTAAAAAAATATTTATAGCCTTGATGCCAGCATGCACATGTCCTCTCCCACAGCCCTCTTCTCCTCAGCACTCTTAACACTCGAAAGAAAGCAAAATAAAAGTGAATTGAAACACAGTATCTGAATTCCCAATATTTCCACATTAAATGCCTCAGGAGACAAACATGGAGAACATGAAATAGTCCTACTATATATAGCCTGAGGCTACAATTCAAGACCAACCTTCAGGGCAAAAGAAAAGGAGGGGGAAACGGGAAGCTCCTCTCTAATCCTAGTTTAAATTTTCTTGCAAGAATAATGGCTTTGCTGGAATACCACACACATCAATAGCTGCAATTTCACCATCTAAACAAACAGCTGTGATTGGAGACAGCTTTGGAGAAGAGGCTCAAGGAAGGACTGCCAAGGGGAGGGAGAAGTTTGTGGTGTGCCAGTGTCCGTGGTCTCAGCCACATGCAGAGAAACAGTTTTATATTAAAACCATTATTCTCTCAGAGATGGGAGAAGGCAGCTAGATGGTTGTTGGTACAAGGGGGGGGCAGCAGACAGAATGCACAGGAGTTGTACACTATGCTAGCCTTAAACAATGGCTTCATTTCAGAGTGGTTTCTTTTTATGAACTGATTTTCCTGTTCTTTTCCCTGAAACATCATCAGAATTTTATTCTAAGCATCTAGAGCTCTGAAAGAACACTAGAAAAGAAGCTAGGCTGTGTTGTGTGTGTATTTAAAGAGTCTATATATGTACGTGTGTATATATATATAACAAAAGGGTATCTATATAAAACCAGGGTGGTTTAAGAGAAGCCAGAGGTGCCAGAAGATTGACAGCCTTGAAGGGTCTGGAGAGACCTTTGGAAACAAACCTGCAGGTAGCTCTGCTTGGACTGGAGCAGTCGGCTAATTAAAAATAAAAAGTTTGCCTGGGAGCATATAAAACACCCAGGGGGATGTAAAAACCTGCACACGCTCTGTTTCTCTTGCCACAAAGACGTTACACACCCCATCTCACTGCTCTTGGGTGCTTCTTCTAATTTCCCTCTGGACCTTAAATCCCTCTATCCTCTCTTCCTTTTGCCAGACACAGGGAAGGGGGGGAAGGGAGTAGAAGCAAAACTGCATCTATTTAAGGCAGTTGTTTCACAAAATGCATCTAAACTTGAATTAACATCCTGTTCCCAAAGGGAGGAAAAGGGAAATGTCCCCCCCTTTAAAAAAACAAAAAAAACATTAAAGTGACCTACAAAGCCATCACTTATAGCCGATCAACAGTGAGTGAAATCAGCATCTGTAGAGCTCACATATACACAACATGAGCCAAATGGTGGTGGATTTTAAAGCACAGGGGAGGTCTATTGTTCCTCTGACCCACCCGCACCCCACCCACATCTCTGTGTGTAAAAGAAGGTTGTGAGGGGACCTGTTTTCAAAAGGGACTTTATAGCAGTTAACAAAGAGGATGTAATGGAAGATACCCTGGACGTCTTAAATCCTGAGAGGTTGCTCCTAAAAGATAACACGTTTATTGGTGAGTTTTTAAATGCATTTCTCCGCGCCAAAGCAAAACCAGCGTGTGTGCTTGCGTACCATTTGCTGAAGGGCCCGCCTATGTACAGGACAGGCGTCCTTGTGCCTCGGCCTGATCTGGCCGACTGCTAAATAATCGGAGCTTCTCCTGAGAAAAACCCCGCGGTGTGTCGGATGTTTTCCTACAAGTTTCTCTCTCGCGCGCGCGTTTTCCCGCAGCCATTTGCAAACAGGCCGGCTAGCCCTCCTCTCTAGGATCCCGGGGAGCGGATCTTTCAGAACACAAAATGCGCGCTAAAACCCGATCGTTCTAAAACGTGGGAAGACGATTGCTGGGTACCAAACGGGTGCCCTCCCCCGTCTCCCACTCAAGCCTTTCCTGATCGTAACTCAAACACTCTACAAGGCAGGGCTGGGGGGGTGCTTTCTTGGCCCCATCAGTTCCCAGTTTGGGCCTTAGTGATCTCCGGTCGCTCCCCCCGCCCCCCCGGAAAAAAACCCCCCCCCCGCTCCAGAGGAGAGCTCTCGGTAATAGCCGTGCATGCGCCGTGCCACTTTGCAGAGCTCACTCGAATCCCGCTTCATTTCAAAATCACGGCAGCTCGATGACGACTTTCAGGGAGAGATGCTCGCCCATGCCTCCTGGGTGCAGAAAAAGAGCAGGTTCCTTCCCCGGGCACGGCGGGCCGGCCGGCCTGCCTGCTACAAGCTCAGCTCGGTCAAAACAACGGTCAGAACCGAGGAGGGGATTTTCTTGGTTGGTGTTTTTTTGTTTTTAAACGACTAACCGTTAAGAGAATCTAGCCGATCCACCACTGATCGCAGAAACACACATAAGCTGCGGGATCTCTCCCCCCCCCCCCCCCCCCCACACACACACTGCAGTAGGACATAAAGAGAGAGCAAAAGCAACAGCCGGCACGACTCAGCCGTGGCCGAGCAGCTCGGGTGAAGAGGAGCGGGTAACCCCAGGAAAACACCACCGACTGCTGGGTTGGGTTGGGGGTGGATCGGGAAAGAGCCGCATCGAAACTACTGGCGCCCCTCCAGCCACTGCAAAAGTTGTTTAGGAGCACACACAAACACACACCCCGGCTTTCTGAAGTGTATCCTCTCCCTTACAAGAAGTTGGGTTCTTTTCACAAAGGTGAGGTGCCATGGAGGCACGTCCTCCCCGCGTCTCTCTCTTCGGACGCGTGAATCTGGAACCGGGGGGGGGGGGGGGTCGGGGAGGGGGAAAAAGG